TATTAATATTCCTTGAGTCAGTTATGCACACATCTACCTTTATCAAAGACAACAGAATACAGGACATAACGCCTTGCCTCCTGAAATTCCTTACCAGGCCAACAGCTAGTCGAAAAACAAAGGAAAAAGAAAAAACAAAAAAAAGAAAGCTTTTTGTCAGTTAATTGTTTAGCTTAATACAGTGGTCCATATAGCTTGCCAGTCACGCAGGAATTGTCTACGGGGTTATAATTTTTTTTTAGTGTATTAACATTTACAAAATACATTAATAAAAAAAATGTAAAACATAAGGCTTAAAGATTTTATTATTATTATTTTAGTAGTATTGCATCAATTAGAGCACATTTTGAAATAGTAATTTGTTTTTTCTTTATCCCAAGCACTTTCAACTTGGAGAAAAATATCTCAAAAAACCCTTTTCAAATCATATGAACACTGACTTTATTTCTTACTTGGTTGCACGCAGCATATGCTAAAACAAATCACTAACACTGTAAGACATGACCTTATTTTTTCATAGACCATACTCTATTCTTGAGCAAAAGATTAAGGTTGCAAAAGGCAGAAACGAATCTAGAGCTGAGTTTTAAGCACAACTCTCCGAGGATTTCTCACTGTAACAGCACAATGCTGCCAGAGGCATGTATGGACCTGCCCTAAGGTCTCTCTCTGGCTATCCTCTCCAGAAGGCAGAGCAAAATAAATAGTAGTTCTGCTATATTGTGTTTACTACACATAAAAACATTCTTTTTCAGAGCATAAATTGAGGATTACAGTTTTAAACAACTGCTCCGGGGCTAGACTGAATACTTAATTAATCTGACAAAAAGAAGAAAAAGAACTACAGCTCCGTACTGCTGAGTTTGGACACTTGCTGCATATTGGATCCTGAAGCTGATATTAAGCTTCTCAAACCTGTTGTTTTGACCAGGTAACCTGCTATCACAACTGCCTTAATAGCCTTCCAAAAAACGGGTCACAAATTTTAAAGGGCAAACATCATTTGGGAGAAAGATACTAAGGGAGTTTAACATCTGCTGCAGACAGAATAAAATTCTTGCTGTGTGCAATATGGAACCTCACAGTATACACACAAGAAAGATTCAGAAGAAATTACTTGTGTGCAAACATAATATTTCATTAAATGAGTTAGTAGAAAACTGGCCAAATTATAGCTATGGGTAAAGAGAGCACTCCTCAACTATCTCCTTTTAATTTTAAATCACTAAAAATGTTGGTACAGCTTTATGAGCAAGTCATTTTTATCTCATTATTCTGACGGTCCTAGAAAAAGATAAACTGTGCATATAATTGGAAGAGCTGTTCTATTGTTAACTAGAAAAAAGTTACATAGCAGTCAAAACTTGACTCTCCAGAAAGCCAGACTATACATACTCCTACTCCATATAAGCACATGAAAAAGCAATTATTTCAAAACAAGGAATGGCTTCGTCTACAAATAGAGTTCTATATATTTTTACACATACCAACTGAGTAAGTTTGAGCAAATGGCAAACACCCACCTGAACAGCTTTTTATAATCAAGATGTATTTCAGCACTTCCTAAATAATTACTTAAGTTTTGGAAAGAATGAATTTAAAAGATAACTATTTACTTTAACAAGAAAAAAAAGATAATCTGAGAAGAGTGAGCTTTTTGTATGCATCTGACATCAAGAATTCAATACATTTGCCACATGTTCAAAACTGATGCTACAAAGAGTTCTGTCAGTGGCACAGTATCTAAAAGATGCACAGGTTCCCTAGTCAAAGGCTTTGTAAAGCCATATGGCGACACTAGGCAAAAGAGAACAGGATCAGATCCCCCTGGATAGGACCAGTATACAACCAAAGGGCAATTTTTGAGATTTGATGTTACATGGTTTCATCTGAAACAGTAAGAAGGGCAACTAGATGGTAAACTATACAAATTTAGGCATTAAAGAATACAGGATCTTAACTACTCCTCCCATGCTATCAGCAGAGGCAGAATATGTCCCACTTTTCTACCTATTTTGCATAAAGGAATTTAAAAGCTCTGACCCCTCTGCTGCTGAATCAAGGCCTCACTAGATACAAGGTAAGATTCCATGCCTAGAAGGAGAAGGAAAAGGAAATCCTTGCTTTCTCCCTCCATAAAAGACCTGGCTTTTCACCTGGGAATGCAGAACCACAAACATTTAAAACGTCTTTCAGGATGCAGTAACTTGCACTAGATAGGCAAATATATAGTGAGGTAAAATTTCCAAAAATAGCTACTATTTCCAATAGCTATTAGTCTCCTGAGCAAGCATAAATAGTAACAAGGTTAGTAAGGTTAGTGTAGGTACTCCATCCAAACATCACTTTCTGGTTTAGTGAGTGAAGTACAACCTTGGAAGAATAATGTTTTCTGATTGATTCTTCGCTTTTCTAGTGATATCCTATCATAAAAGGCTTTAGTTCTATCAAATCTCAGTAGACAATCCCATTCCAGCCACTGTAGTTCATAAGCATCCTTTTTTACATCTGTTTTAACTACTACTACCAAGCTCCAACTTACCCTTTAAGGTTCTCTTTTTAACTTTACAAAGATTCTCAGAAAAAAAAACCCTTGTAATCAACCAAGTGAGAATCTTGGAACCCAGTAATTCAAGTCATTCGTGCCACAGTCCTGCATCACCAACACTTTCACAAAGCCATCACAAAATCTCCTTTTTATGCTTACTGAAAATAATCAAGAAAATAGGAAACAATCCCCTCCAACCAACCCTCTACCATGTAAATCAAACAGAACTAGAGAAAAACTAGTACAGACCTCCACTTGAAGTAGCTGTATTTTCAATTAATGTTGATTAATGTTAGATTTAGTATAAAAATGAAGAGCCCTCCCCTGGACTACAACAATTGTGAAATTGGCAGCTAAGTTGGAAATTAAAAGCACAGAGCAAGAAATGTGCAGTGAGTTTGTTGCAGCCACTACAAATAGGAAGGAGTTAGCAGAAGGGAAACCTTCACTATCAAATAAAAAATATGGGAAGATCATCCTTTTAATAAACTTTAATTTGTTCTTTTTCCCCCCTTTCACTCTCAGATATATATGCAGAATGTGCTTGGAAGCAGCAAAAGAGCGGAGCTTCAAAAATCACTCATCAAACAATCGTGCTACTTTTAATAATTTATTAAAGGTCCTAAAACAAAGATCAAAAGGGAATATATCTAAGCATTTATATTCAATTGCACATTGCCTGATGAGTAATTTGTAAAGATTGCACAAGTCTTCACAACTGAAGCCAAAATCATTTGAGGATACTTTGATATAATGCCACAAAGGATATGAGCAGGAAGGCAGCAGGAGTTACAAATGGCCAACCTCCATTAAAAGTGCTAATAAAAGAATAATGGAATTTCCTTGTACTATGAATAAAAAGTGTTTGGCACAGGAGAATTTAGACACAGAGAGGAATATCAAAGCTTCTGGTTTATCAGTTGCTTCTCCTTATTAGATCTTAATTGACTTACTATTACATTTACCTTAAAAGCTTCAACTCAAAAAGCAATGATCCCATTCAAAATCTTGTCACACTAATCTCCTTTATTCTTCATGTTTCTCAATTTTCACAAGCCATTAATACCTGCTTTATCAATCCTTGTAGATAATGCAAGTCTATATATAAAAAAAATACTTTGAAATGATGGATTTAACTTGAAATTATATATATAATTATTAAAATTACAGAATATACCTACTGTTTTGTCAATGATTTATTAAACTGTAAATTTTCAAGTTGCTGGTAACTATGGAAGTCTCATAGCAACAACCTACCTGATAAATTTAATTCACTAATATCTACACAATGCATTTCTTTCTCATAGACATATGTGTAGTTACACACATACATGCATGTGTTCATACATAGAGATAGGTGCACATACATGCACATTTCTGCCACCTTCTCCCCCAAATATAAAACCCAGCTAATTTTCCAATGTATAACTATTTGGTACATGGCCAGGAGAAGAAAGGGTAGAGTTTAGAACTTTCCTTTGAAATTTCTAAACAAAAAAATGTTTCAAATCTTTATTTTTTGAAACTTGCAAAATCACACACACTTTGCAAAAAAGAAGCAGCAAAGACAGTCATCTCATACTGCTGACAAGCTGTTAAAGGATTTAGTGCACTTGCTTAAAAAACTATGCCCACAGATGCATCCAAGATAGGAGGAACTCCCTGAAAATATTTACAAAACTACTTAACTCTCCTTCAATCTGCCTGCTTAATGCTTTCGTTTGCATAATGCCTACAAAAACCCGACGACATAGTTATAGCACAGAAATGATGTGGTATCTGTCTCCTGGTTATCTAGAATCTTCTTGTAACAGCTTTAAGATTTTATTTCACTTTGCAATGTCTTTAGGAAAGTGATCTTCTTTTCTTAACCCTATAGTATGAGATATAATAAACAAGGTGGTTTGTTTTTTGGTTTGTTTTTTGTTGTTTTTTTTAATCAGGATTCCCAGATTTTACAAATAGGGATCAAGTTACAATGATGACTGCTTCTTCTTCCTCCAGAAAACCATCAGGCTGTTAGCAAAACAGCCTCTTCCAATGATCTTCCAGAATCAATAGATAATTCATTAGTATCATGTATCTCAGGGCCTAATTGACACAACAGGCTAAGCAACATACTCAAGGGTAACAGTTTCTAAATAGAGAGAAAAAAAGGAGGGGAATCCGATACCACATATGGTCACTTTGCAGGATTTAGTGTCAGTCTATAAATTATACTTCTATGAGGTTAATGTGAGTCATTGGTTTCACAAATCAGAAAATGCAGCTTTTCCAGCTTGGCTTGAAGAAACAAAGAACCATTTATATGATAGCGTAATGTAAGTAACATGAATACCCTAGCACTTTCAATTTTATACCTTCCTCTTAATTTTGCATTAAACATGAAACACAGTTATGAATGTTTGGAATTATTCTTAACAACAAACATAGGTAGTATATTTTTTCTTACCTTATGATCATATGGATTGTACGAATGAAACAGCTGGGACAGATCCTTTGTTCTCTGTTTTTTCTGAAAAACAGTATTAATAAATAAACTGTATTAGAAAAGTTAAAGTAAAAAGAAAGACTACTGATTTAAAAAGCTGTATGCAGGTACAAACACATTCTCTCCCTGTTTTGTTAATGGAACTGTAGGTATGAAGAGCAGTGTATGCAGATTAAGGATATTAAATATCACAGGAAATAATTAACATATATATTAACAATGTTAAGAACATATCCTTAATAAATAATAAACATTAATCTATGGAACATCAGTGGAATGTGTAAACAATTCAGATTTGTTTTAATTTCTGTACAATAAATCATAAATACTGTCTTAGAATACAGATAACAAAACTTGAAGATTAGGCTCTAATCTTGCAAAGACTTGTCTACCATTCTAGCATGTACGTGCAGTCTTGCTTTACAGCAGATTAGGTTTAAAAGAAGTCAGTTTAAAGAAGAAACATTTATTATTTTTCAACTTCTGATGCTAATACTCTCATTGCCTTGATTGTGAAAATTAATAGGTGGTATGCCATTTAATGCCAAGGCAAAGAGAAAAAAAAAAATCATTCTGTTAAGAGCAAAGTTCAAAGACAAAACCTACTTAATCCAGCTTCTACTGAAATCAATGAAAGAGCTTTCAGTGATTTCAGCAGATGTTAAATAGAATCTCTCAGCTGCATCCTCGGGAGGAGGGGCAGGGAGAGGAGAAAATACCCTTCATCTTCAATGCAGGGATGAGTCATGAAGTTCAAAGTTTTTTATGTCAAAATTGACATTGATGTATCTCATAGCTTGGGAAGGCAAAGCATTGTATGTTGGAAAATGTGTAAAGGGGAGACAACTACAAGAACTCCTTGCTTATAGTCTGTACCATTATCTTATTTTAGCCATCATTTCTGTGAAAGTAGTTTTCCAACTAAACTGGTAGGATCTGTTCATGTTTCCAGCATGCTAGGAACTAAAAAGACAGCTGCACGACTGCAGTACTCATTTAACTTCTGGAAACTATAGGAAAATTTTGTAATTCTAGATTATGCAAAATGAAATATGTATTTCCTTTCTTTACACAGTTTTTATTTTCAGTGAAATGTTCAGATGCAGAAACAAGTCACAAAAGCTGTAACTTTAGTTACTAGTACAAATTTATGACAGCTGAATATTTCTGAGTCATTAAAGGTATCAGAATAACATTAGTACTTCTGTTACAACTGTTAAAGAGTCAAGAAAAGAATTTTTTACTCACTGTCCCTCTTCAAACAAGAACAGTAAATTTTGTTTTCAGTATGAGAAGGTTACTTCTGTCATAGACAATTCTATTTAATTGCCATATCTAGCAGGACTTGTTTCTCTGAGTTTACTAAGGGGCTTTAAAACTAACAGAAGTGATATTAAAAATGACATTCCTGTTAGTACATACTTTCTCAGCAATCGAACATGCCTTTGCCAAACAAAGTATCTCCCTTAGTAGTGGAACCTTTGCCCTCTAACCCATATTAATACTTCTTTTATTTCCAGTGGGGAAAAAACTACTCAAATGAAAGCATCAGGTAGCGCAACCCAAGTTCTTTCACAACCCTTCCATGACTTCTTTCCTGGTAGAACAGTTATAAATAGTGAAAGGACTTAAAATACTGTAAAAAGGATTTGGAGAAATGTGATCATAAATTGAAAACAGATATAAAAATGCTTATTAAAAAGGTTACTTAAAACCCTGATTTAATGTAGAATCATGCAAGAAGTAGACAAGCTTTTTAGTTTGGGATCTGGAGACCTCCACTGATCTTTCCAGGAAAAAAAACCCACAAAATCCAGAAAGAGTGTAACTCGTGCTTTTCTTACTGAAGACTGTTTCTCTTATATCCATTTTTACCTGCACATGAAGTGCTTTTCAGTATTTTTATTGCAATAGCTTTAATAACACTCAATAAAACTATATGACAGAAACCCTCCTGTCCTTCACCTTCTGACTCTGGCCAAAATGCTATTTACAGAGTCAGCTGGACAAGATGAAGAATGAAGATAGCTCCCCTTATACAACACATTGACATAGTCTTCCACTTTTTATTGTAGGAAATTATGGTTTCTTTTCTACCTTTCCCCAAAAGGTAGAAGTTCTGCTCTTTGTACAAAACCAAAATATTCATGACTGGGGAAATGCTGGAAATTCATAACACAGAGGAACATGGAATGAAACTTCTAGAGACGCACATGAAAAAATGCTGCCCCAAAATTCTCAGGATTCCCCATATGCTTAGTTGATCTAAATATAAACAGCATTTGACTATTTTGTAGGAACTCTGAAAGAGAGAAAAATGTCATAAGCACGCAGTTAAGGTTGCTTAGCGATAATTTGTGTCTTTCTTGAACACTGAGTTTGGTTTCACTGAGATCTCTAAAAACCAGAAACATAAAACATTTCAAAACACACAGACTAAGAAAAGGACAAGGAATTAATGCTTCTGTAACAGCAACCCTTTCAATTCCTATAGCAAACATTAGCCACATGATATTAACAATAAATTTTTTAAATGAAGAAAAGCCATAGTTCCTAGTTCACCTGTAAGCAGCACAAAACAGAGTAAAGCAGGTCCCTCCATGTCTAGATGTGACAGAGGAAAATAAGGAGCCCAAAAGCTCCTTGTCCTTTATTGGCTCCAGGGAACTACTTTAGTCCCTAAACTGCCTATTTACATGCATCTCCACAGAACGTCTTTCCTTGACGCAGCTTCATACTCCTATTTCTCCTTCCCCGTCTTAGTCCAACATTCCTTCCAAGCATTCTCTTGACCAATGTAAAAATATTTTTCTTCCCCCTGTCTTCCTGCTCTTTCTCTTTAGTGTTCTGATTCCCCATTCCTTTGTTCTGTACCAATAATGCTGTCAAAATCACATGGTGAAAAGACTCAGAAAAATCCTTATAAACTTAGGCAAATATACTGATCCATTGTACTGTCCCACATACAGCAGCAGTATTGCTTTCAAACATCCTCACAGATCTGCATAGGATATATTTCAATTTATTACTTTTCTGAAAAAATTCAAGAGTCTTTCCAAAGTTGCCACAGAAATTAGCACAGGGTATTTCCAAAAATGAAAAGATTTCTTAGGAGTCTGACAGCAGACTTGTAGCTTATTTCCATACTTCTCTCAGGCTTGCCATATATTGATACAGCCTATGTTCAGTGATCACAGAACATTTCCTTCAACCAAGTTACTCTTGGCAGTGGGTTACTTGCAATACTCTTAGTCTGGCTGTATGTAATTTTGGTGCAAGAGCATTTGACACGTAACAAACCAGAGAGACACTATTCCTTCACAGACTTTTCCAGTATTGGTTTACCAACAGGACAATCAGAGAGTCATGTTAACACTTGAGATAAATATCATATCACTCACAAGATCAGTAAAACCTCAGTCTGAGAACTGTGCACAATTTTCTACTTGTGCATCAAGTGGTGGTGTATGAAGTAGGGATCTTTTACAGCACTAGTAGCAGGCCATAGGGGGAACCGCAGGGTACCCTACTAAAAGAGAAGGGCGGGCTTTCCCTGGGTGAAGGATGATGCTTGCATCACTGCTGTATACAACTGTTCACATGTTGGGAGTCTGTGGGAGACCAGCAAGATCTTCCTAAATTTACAACAAGCAAGACTGGACAGAAGGTTCCCTAGTACATGTATGTATATATGTGTGTGTGTGCGTGTGTGTATGCACATGCTTTACAGGGGCAGAGATTTTGTTAGGTTGCAAAATTCTGACAAGTCAGTCATGCACTGATTTAAATTTTAAACCCACAGTCATTAGTTTGTAGAACTTAAAGAAACAAGTTTAGGGAGATGAAACAGATAAAGAGCTGTATTCAGGTACTATGCTAATGTGAGCCACTAAATATATATGCATATGACTAAAAACCATTTTCCACTTTTCAGATTCAATAAGTTCTAACAATGCCACATTATATGGGAGATAAAATGGAGACACTTTTTTATTTCTATCTCTAGCTGGAAAAGTATGTGAAAGCCTGATGAAGTACAGATTAAAGTGCTGCTGCAGGACTGAGTTACATACTGCAAAATCATATATGCATGTTCACATAAGTATGACAGGATTGGTTTCGCTAAGTTTCCCCCCTTTTGTAAGGGAATTATTTCAAGCTTGTTACTAAAATACATGTAAGTTAAGTGCTTCTCAAAAGACAGGTAGTATTCAACATGCAGTTATAAAAATAAGAACCAGAAACAACATCAACTAATGATGTTTCTTATGACAACACACATTGACAACATCAGTAGTGAGGAAACAACACATAACCATAATTTCATTATGTCCCCACCTGTAAGCATACAAGAAAGTAACACATACTTTGCTCTAAATATTTCCTTTATGTGTGTCTCATTTTCTGGGCCTCAGGTTTTTGAAGTCTTATTTTTTGAATACTGAGATTTTTTTTTAAAGGGACGGTCATCTGAAAAACGTATTATATGCTTGAAGTGCAGTAACAATAAAGGATCTTTTTAGAACACATCCAGATTTATAAACTGATCAAGCCAAGAGTTAGTGACCTTGGTGTTTTTTACTCTCTTTTCTTGTGCATTGATTTTTAGCAATAATGAAACGTTTTATAATGCTTTAAGTGGACTACACTGTGGATTATTATCCTACTTTGATCAAGAAATGTCACTTAAAGAACAAATAGGTAGAATGTAAAAAAGTAACCAAACAAAAATAAGCCCTGTACAAGATGAATCTCTAAAATATTTTCTGCACAAGTTCCCCAGCATAGATTTATGTGCTGACTACAGGAAAATAAATCTTCCCCCCCCCCCCCCC